ACCTCTACCCAGATTGTCACACGAGTGCACCACAAGAGTCAGAGGGGTGTGGTTCAGCAGGTCTAGTATCGTAGCCTCTCCTCGTCAAATATAATAAGGACGATGAAGACGAGGGGACAGGGATGAATCAATCAATAATCTGTTCTTCATCTTGAAATTATTATTCATCTTGACTTACCACCCTTGTATCCGACACCTCGAGCTTAGCTCTCCCTTAATCTTACCTTGGTAACCAATTCGACGCTATCAAGTTTTCTCTCTATCAGCAAGCTATCCACTCCCGAGTCTCTCAATCCTCGATGATTAGAACCTTCACTACGTCCCAAGCTGAGCCTCCTTCTAGCTCAGAGAGCAATCCGAGATGCCGAACTCGCAGTCCTAGTCCTAGCGATCAATTGCACGCCCGAAAACAACGGCGGCAGAGCCGACAATCCAGGTTCAGCCCGCTGTTACTCGCGAATAGACCTCGCTCAGCGAGCAGCATTGGAACAAGTATCAGCCAATATTACGGAGTCGGCGACGAAGATACACTCGGAAATCTCTTCGCATCTTATCCACAGACCTTTTCAACCGCTCCACAACCCCATGGATCGCAAGGGCTTCATGAGCTACCATGGGAGCTCCGTTTCGATTACGAGATACACCTTTCGAATGACTTCCTAACCCAAGGAAGACGGCAGCAACGAGTCAGAATCCCTATACCAGGGCCAGAAACCGACTCACTACCTTCCTCCTCTCCGCCTCAATCAGCATGGGAGCAATCGTCACCCACAAAGGCCGAGTTTCAATCTGCCCTGAAGCTAGTACGAGAAAGTGATTGGGACGGATCGGAAGCTTACCCTCGAGCTCGCTCGGTCATACGAGCGAGTACGCCAATGGCGAGAGAAATAGGGTTACTCGCCACTCAGTTCAGATGCGCTTGAATCGCCTCCTCCCTACTCACCGCCCCGGGAGCCGTCCACCCAAGCAGTATCCCCTCAAAAGATCAGATCTTCTCCTCTTCGGATTTCCTCGTCCCCTGCCCCCGACCCGATCCCGAACCCACCGATCCCAGGCGACCCAGCGCCGTCAACCGAAGCTCTATTTAACTTGATAAACACCTTTGCGAAAGAGAGTGGCTTTGGTATTGTCCGACGGAACGCCTACTCATATAATGGTCGGAGGATGAGATATTCTTTCCAATGTGACAGATACGGAGAACCACGGCCTAGCAGAGGTGCAGGTCTCCGGCAACGGAAGTCCCGGAAGTGCGGATGCAAGTGGATGGTGATAGCCGAGGCTCTAGAAGAGGGCGAGTGGCTCCTACGATAACACCCAAACCCGGAACATAGTCAACACAACCATGGGCGTAGTATTAGACCGTCTGCGCACCCTTCCCATAGACGGCTGACTACACCCATCAGGGCAACCATTGAGTCGATAAGCCGTCGGGTCGGTATCTGGGCCCGTGACGTACGGGCTGTGGTCCAAGAGCAACACCCCGAATCAACCTTCACGCAGAGGGACATCTATAACGCCCGGGCTCTCATCAATCGAGACAAGTTGAATGGCTACACTCCCACTGCAGCACTGATCAAGCTATTTGATGAGATGGACGTTCCTTACGTCGTTAAGTGGGCGGATGATGAGCCAAGCCGCCTCGTTGGCCTTGTCTGGACCTTTTTCTACTGTCTCCAGATGTGGAAGCGGTTTCCCGAGGTCATCAGCTTCGACAACACATACAACACCAACCGCTTTAAGCTTCCGTTATTCCAGGCAACAGGACAGACTTGCCTTGGTTCTGTCTTCAATGCGGCTTTCGGTCTGATCGACAACGAGAGACGGGAGGGGCTCCAATTCCTCTCTGAGAGTATTCGACAACTGGCAGAGCAGCACTCCGTTTGCCAACCGGACGTCATCGTTACCGACTTCGACGATCAGATAAAGGCCGCCCTGAATGATCAGTTCCCTGATGTACAGCAGCAGCTCTGTATCCACCACATCAATTCGAACGTCCTGCTCAAATCAAAGCAAAAGTGGGTCAAGGGCCGCAGTAGTAGCAGTAGTCCCGACAGCAGCGACGAGGATAAGTCTACTCCACAGGTACGGGCTGAGCTTAGCCCGAAAGACCGACAGTTAGTCCACGCGCCGACATCGGAGGACATCCCTCATAGCTATCGAGGGGTTCTCATGAGGTGGAAGCTCGTCTTGTTTGCCGAGACTGAGGACGCTCACGAGAAGGCGTGGAGAAACCTCTGTAGGGAATTTGATGACCAGCGGGCTATCCTGCGGTATCTCCATGGAACCTACATGCCTGTAAGGGCCCAGTGGGCACGCTGTTTCATCCGCAAGTATCGCAACTTTGGCATCCGTGTCACCTCTGGCACAGAAGCAAGCAACAACAACATCAAGAGCTACCTTCTAAACGGTATGAGCCACCTGTATCGACTTGTCGAAGCTATGCAGGACATGATGAAGGACCAAGAGCGGGACTTCAACGATGCCTGCGCAGCGGACGAGGTACTCACCGCTCGCGAGTATATAGGGTCTAGCTCGGAGTATCTAGGCGAACTCCGGACAGCAATATCATCGAAGGGCCTTGGGCTGATCAACAAGCAATATCGCTTAGCTCGCAAAGCGATGCCGACTGGTAAGAATCCGTTCCCGGAGCCTCTCGGGGGCTGCAACGACGACTGTTCGGTCTCTGTCGAGCTCGGTATACCTTGTTGCCACAAGGTCTACTCGAGGTTAGGGTCTGCCACACCCTTCACTAAGTGGGAGGTCCATCCACGGTGGCGACTACGAGAGCCATCCTCTCGAGATCCATACCGACGGATTCTCGACCTCAAGATTGCCACTGCTCTCCGTGGCAGGCCCAAAAACACCACACAGGCTGTTCCAGCAAGGCTAGCCATCGGAGCAAGCAATCGGCAGAGTAGTCAGCCAGCCAGCCAGGGCCTATCAAGGCGTAGGCGAGGTCGACCACCGGGTAGTCTAAACAGGTCGACTCTGGCCAGAGTGGAACTCGATGCGAGCCAACATGCCAGTAGCCAGGCCAGTAGCTCAAATCAGCGCCAGACACGCAGCCAGTCGGGTATCCTTGGAGCGGGGAGAACTACAGGAGGACGTGCCAGCGGACAGAAGACGCAACCCAGCATTCGGAGACGAAGGAGTCAATGGGAGCTGCTTAATAGCGACGAGGAGATTCTTCCTTCCATAGTAGCAAGAGGAGACATAGATAGCTGCTCTTAATAGAATTGGCCTTATTCTATAGGTATCGAAAATAATACTTTGTTTTGACGGCTGAATGCGAACTGTTCTAATAGGCCGGCTTGGTCCGGTTGCTTCTGCAGAGATCTGGGCTTGTTAAGAGAGCCGGCTTCACCGCCTTTTCTCAAAGGTATTTATGGGTCTACGAAATTTAGCCCAATCAGGTGTTACAAAAAGTCATGCCCCCCTAAGGGTCATGCCCGCATATCAATTCGTCATACCCCCCTATCAATTGCTATTATTATTATTGTCATGGTGAGAGCTCCCTAGGGGTTTATATCCCATACGATTCCATCTAGGACTTTCAACTTTCAATCTAGGACTTTGTGATGTGACCCTGAAGTGAGGGAGAAGCTCCTAATTTTTCCAATATCTAGGCCAACTTTGAATAAAGTTAATGTTGGTTCAGGTAGTGCATTGTTATTGGGACTAGTATTAAACTGGTATAGATCCGGGGCAGATTGTTGGGGTCACCGCCCTACCGTAGAAACTCGAGAAATTCGGACGCTTGGCAAAGTGGAACCGACCCGCCTTCCCCGCTCGCTATGCCCTACTTGAGGGGGCTTATAGTCCGGTCTATTCCCGTGACTCGGTCTTCCGCAACTCCGTTATGCTCGGAAGACCAAGCACGGGGGGTACGTTGACTAAGGAAATGGTCGGTTGATTAGGGAAACTAAGAAAGATACTTCTATTTCTATAGAGATTCTTAATAAAAATAAGTACCTAAGTTAATTAAAAAAGCTTACAAAGTCTAAAATTATCTAAGTAACTTAAGATAAAAAAGATATAATTGTTATGCTCAGATATAACTGTTAGGGTCTTCTGGGCATAATCTCTTCTTGTTCAGTTATCTAGGTTATCTAGGCAGCTGCGATCCAGCTGATATACAGCTGCTAGGCTGCTTACCTAAGCAGGGTTTAGCCAACAGCTGGCTGATCCCTGCCAGGACCCTTTTGACCACAACAAGTGCCGCCTTTCAAGAGAAAAAAAGCCACTGCCCCCAGTGGCCGGACCGGCTCTTCGTCCGAAGACGAAGCAGCTGTCCGAGAGAAAAGGAAAAAGA